CCTACATGGAAGACCTGTCCATCTGATCCAGGCATCTTCCTTCAGCTGAAACACATGCAATGTAGTATAGGGGAGTTAACGACTTCCCATGTCCCTGCCCTGAAGGGCAGCGACTGGAGCTTGGAGCCTGGTGCCCTCTTCATGGGGTGGGTTTCAGGAAAGGGCTCTCTCCTGCCCTGTGCACGTACAGACCTCAAGCTGGAGCCTGTTGTCTCTTTTAAGGGCAAGGAGACGTTTCACATTTGAGAGCTGGGGACCTGCTTGGCCAAGGACCTGTGTGAGCTGATTAAAGCACTTCCCGGCGGGAAGGAAGCGGGGCGGATACCTGATAAGCTGCTGTCCGGGCTTGCGCTGCTCTCGAGCTCCGAGCTTCTCCTGCCAGGCTGCCACAGGAAGGCAGAGAGCAGCACACGCCAACCCCAGCATGTGCTGGTCACACCAGGGGGCAGCTGGAGAGATTCCCCATCTCCTCACCCAGAATGGAAATTAAAGGGCTCTCCAGTAAAGAGCAAAAAAGGTGTTTTTACTAGCCCCTGCAGAGCAGCATAAATACGTGACAGAAATGCCATTTGTCCTGGTTCATGGCTGCTAGCACAGTGAATGTCAGCAGGTAACTGCTGTGGCCTCCCCTGCAGCCCACAGACCGACACAGTGGAGCACAAGGGGACAGCGGGTCACGCTTGCTTGACACTTAATGCGCCTCCTCACACAGGTCTGGGTGTTACATTACAGGTAGCACATCCCGAGCAAACACAGAAGACCTGTGGAAAGGACCTCAGCACTGTCCAAGCACCAGCCCTTCCCTTGCAGATGCTTAACTTTAAAAACAGAAGTCAGGCTTCAATACATTCACCTCAAAGCTGTCCTAGCTGCTAGGAGGGATCACCCTGATGGCAAGCGGGGAAGGAACAGGGCCCGTTCATCAGAAGCCCTCGGAGGAGCCTCCTCACAGTTGGCCTTCTCGTCCCTGCCAGCTCAAACGGGCCTACGTGGCACCGAGAGCGCGTGCACCGCGGTGTGACGTGGCAGGGACGAGCAGCCCAGGGATGCGAAGGGATAAGGCAGGTGGCATCAAACGTGGGACAGAGCAGGGCTGGGAGGCGGGGACCAAGGGACACACACACACTAGGACGATGTGAGCTCGCTCCCATGTTGAGGAGAACATTTCTGCACGTTATCAGCTCTTCCCGTCCACCTGCCACAGCAGGCGCTGTGTCCAGGGGCGGATAACTGGCGGAAGCATCGCTTGCCCCACAGCAGACACGCGGTCCCGTCTGAGGAGGAGCGGAGACAGGCACCGTCCACCGGGCAGGCAAAGGGACATTATCACCTGTACCCAAAGCCAGGGCGAAAGCTGGAAATAGCAGCAGGCACAATCTCACTCCCTGCAGCACAGCCAGGGCACCGGTGTGATTTGCAGCTGTGAAATGAATTAGCACCTTCAGTTTATCTTGGATATTTTGCCTGAACCCCCAAGAGGCCATTTAATGCTCAGAGAAGTCTGTTTTCCACACTCCACACTGATTGCTTCAAAATATAAGGAAACCATATGAGACTATGTGTAAAAGGAAATGAAAATGACAGGTAACAAAAAGCATGTGCTTATGGTAAGGCAATGCACATAGTCTTGGATCTTTCCTGCCATCTCTGTGATCCCTAGACCTCATGCATCAGCCAATTTAATTCTTTTCACGATGAATCAGTACTATGAAACTATTTTGCTCCTTGGCAATTGCATTTTTTTTTCATCTACAAAAGCAGTAATTCAGCGAACTATGCAGAGATTTATATTGTTATTATTATTTGTAAACCCCATTTTGGCCAGTTTGGTTCAGTGAATCATCTTTTCCTAAAAATAATCCTTGAAAGCCCCATTTAAGACTATTGTCATGGCAGCAGCTGCAAACTGGTGTGGTGTTAATTTTGGAAGGAAAGACAGAGGAAAATAATTTACAAAAAAAAAAAAAAGACAAATTGTGTAAAAAATAGCCAGCTGAGAAAACTCCAATAATTGCCTGAATTCTGAACATTTTTCTTCTGCTGTTATGGAGAGAAAGTACTGAATAATTTTGGAACAAGTTTTCTCTTTTAATATATAATTGTTTTGGGAATAGGCTGGCATGGCAGCGCTTGAGTTTTGAGAAGCTTGGGATCGCTCCGGGATCTCCCGCGCCTGCATCGCCCCCAGAGCCGCTGGCAGAGC